CTCGAGTCAACCTTCACCGCCTCTCACCACTCACCAACGCGCGCGCGTTGAGCTTCATTCCGGTGCACCGGAGTGCTAGGAGCAGCGAGTGACTGGGGGAGTGCCTGGCTTAGCGCAATAGGCACGCAAATTATGCTCAGGATTGAGGGTTATTACAGGTCGAACTTCTTTGTCCTAATTGTAAGTTAACCGCTAATAATAATTTTTAAAAAAACAAACAAAGAGTACAGATTTGTTTAATAAAAAAAACACTTATGTGGTTTGTGCAAGTGAGTTATACGCCCAGAGAGACATTATGTAGGTGGCTAATCTTTGTGATAAGTCGGCTAATTAATTAAAATTTGTTAATTCACTTTTTAATTAGTGAAAATAGACATATGGTTTCAATTAAGAATTTCTGAGTATTATCGAAAACCATTAAATCAGTCATTTTCAGAAAGACTCTCAGCGCGTGAGAAGTGTAGTAGGGCACTGAAGTTACCACTCGTGGAGCACGTGCAAGGCTAGCAGTTGCGGTAAGGTACCCGCTCAATTTTTCCGTCTCTTATCTAGCCCCAGCCATCTCCCTGCTCCACGAGTAGTAACTTTAGCACACTACTGTGCTTCTCACATGCTCAGTCTTTCTAAAAATTACTGATTTAGGGGTTTTGGACGACGTTCAGCAAATTTCTAATTGGAACCGTAAGACTATTTTCACTAAATAAAACGATAATTAACAAATTTTACTTTATTATTCGACTTATTGGAAAGATTAGCCACCCACATAATGTCCGCCTGGCCGTATAACTCACTCGCACAAACCGCATAAGTGTAGCTTTCTTGACTTTTTTAAAACAAATCTGTAAAGAAGTAAAAAAAAAAAAAAAAAAAAAAAAACCTGTATATTTAAATAAATATGGTGGTCGTGGTAGTTCCCGTGCAGCGAACTTGGCGTAACTCTGGCTCCTACGCCGCTAAAGAGCAGTGGCACCTTTATAGCAGAAGTGTAGACTTTTATAATGCTTTTTGGGTGGTTGTTTTTGCAGTTTATGATATTAGTCTTGAGTGAAGTGGGTTCATTAAACTTGCGGGATACATTTTTATTGGTAGACCTGTTAGCGGATATGCTGGTTCTTGCTGACATTTTACAGAAATTATATTTACATGCTAAACAAACTACCAAGCGTAAAATGGAGAGTGATTAGAGTATTTATCCCAATGAAGTGTTGTATGTTTGACTTGTCGACGATTTTTTAATACCCATTGTAAATGAAACCTACTTAGGCTAGAGCCTTGTTTAAGAAGACTTATGTTCCTTTTATGCCCTGTCTATCCTTATCACAAATGGTAATAAGTAATATGCTCAAGTATCAAAGGGGAACCCTCGATCACTATCATAAATGAGCTCATTTAGAGATGCAATCCCTTTTTCATTCTCAGGTGATGTGCTAGCATATGTTGGCATCTGCTCCAAAAGTGTCAGTGGCTGCTCCAAACCAATATTTCGCCTGCTACAGAACCTGCTACGAAACGTCAAATGCCGCTTCCATCACTGAGGTACCAGAAAAATTACTTTAATTGAAATACAAGTACATACTCGGAGAATTTACTTCAAGTAAAGTACAAGTTTTCTAAACCTACTGGAAGTAGCACACTGTGCTTAAAGTACTTCCCGACTCTGGCTATTGTGGATTAGCAGTATGGTACCGTGCTCAGTTGTATTTGCCAAAACTTGGCTACACGATACAACTAACAATTCTAGTGCAGCTACTGTTCCCAAGTTAAAATGTTCAGGAGGGCGCTAATGAGTTGTGAAGTTATTGCCCTTTCACTGTCCCAATTTTCGCAATGCAACAGTGGCACTAACCCAGGCCCACTTAATACCTCACTGTGTTTCACGGGTGTGCAGGGAAGCTACACCCGTGAAATAGAAATCTGGTGGATTTCGCTTTGCCACAGTGCCTTATGTGAAGGGAAAAACACTATACTCGTAATTGGGATGGTGCACAAGCATACATCAAATTTTTTTTTAAAAATTGGGAATGTTAAGCAATTCAGCTGGTCAGTTTGTTTTTTGCTTTCAAATTTGAGAATGCTTTTGTAGCTTGGGTATAGGGAAAGAGTTGATAAATAACCTTCGGTATATCTACCCATCTGTTCAAAAGACAGTCAATGAAGTATAAATTAAAACTCTGGGGTGAGGCTTCGTTTAGTCACAAAAGCAGATTTTTTTTAATCTAGCTCGCTTTTGTAATACATTTCTTAACTTTAAAAGCATATGTAACATCTTGGGTAGTGATGTAAAAGTGCTTGTAGGCACACTTTTCTTGTCCTGTGTAACCAAAAAGTGGGCAAATCCATCTTTTCGTTGACTTTTTTTTTTTCTTTTCAGGGTGTGAATTTTTTGTTATGTACACACCATTTTTTCAGCAAGTATACAGTCTACTTCAACCAAATTTTTTGCACAGTAGTGTTCACGCATTGTGCTTGAATGGAACTAGAGTCCACTGTTTATCTTGCTTTGTAATCTTTCAATATACAGTGTTAGAAGGTGGTAATTTTATATTTACCAAACATAAAGAAAAAAAAAATCTCTTATTAACTTTTTTACGGAAGTTTCAGGTACACAGGAGCTCTCTGCCTACCAAGTTTGTGCAACCATTTTTTTTTAAGGTACAAATGCAAAAAAAAAAAAGAAATGATTTATTTTTATTTTTTAATGTGTACCATTTATTGATAACATCTCTATTAAATCTCATGAGCCTTTCTTCAGTTATAAAAATTTGAGAACCAAATTTATCAGTTTCACTTTCATACTCTTGTTGCACCTTAACTTTAGCGGTGGAATGGAAGCTTGGGAAGATTGAGTTCAGTTGGATTCTCCAGACATATTTGTCACCCACATGCTGATTTTGCATCATCATCAAACCCTACATATGCGGAGGGCAAGTTCGTCTGCTTCTTGCGCAGGGGGTAGCGGTGACGTCAGAACGCCGAGCCCTGATTGGCTGATCGCGGCCCTCTATCTGAGCGTCGTCTGCTCCTTTGCAACGTCGTCTGCTCGCAACGTCGCCTGCGTCTGTCTTACCTTTCCTGCGACTTTCGGAAGCGCAGAGGCCAGGTTCACGAAACGACCTTAAGCCAAAAATGTGCGTAAGACAAAACTTAAGAACAAATTGGTACTCACGAAACGAAATTTGCGTAAGTTTTGTGCAGGTTTTGTGCAGCGTCACGGTCGCGGCGACCCACTGACGTTTATTTTTTTTACGTGCGCTTCTCACGCGTCCCGACTTCAAGCAGCAAGAAAAAAGTAAAAAGTACTTGAAACAGACCACGACGAACGAGAACGCTGGATCCACAAACACCCGGGAGAAGCTCCAACGGCCACGATTCCACCGAACGCGACCAAGCGAGCACGGCAGTTAGGCCTAGCAGGCACTCCTCGACTCGGCGACCGTCTGCCCACGGACCGGCTGGCGTGCTGAATGGAATATGCCCGCGCGACCATTGTGAACCCTTCCCGCATTATACTTTGATCGCTGACCTCAATTTTAGATTAAGAGGTAAATTTCTTCCTCTTGTTATCTCCTTGTTTCCTGAGGCAACGGTGACTCTCGCCGGTGAAAAAGCGGTGAATCTCCGACAGACGCAGGAAAGGTAAAGCAGTCATCGCTTTGACTAGCAGACGTAAAGCAGACGACGTTAACTGCGCCAACCCGCCGACGCCGTTAAAGAATGAGGGTTCTCACCGCACACGAAGGGAGGGAAAAAGTATTTGGGAGGGAACTTGCGAACACTAACACGCTCACTCTCGGTTCTTAGCAAACGAACCTCGGCGCCTCGGGACACCTCGCCAGTGAGTCCTTTGACTTCCCTCCTTGATGCGCGTCCGCTAGTTGTTAGACAAAAACAACGTACCGCTCGTTTTATTTCGTCTGCCCCCTCTAAAAGGTCAAGTCGAGCTCGCTCGTAGAGACCTGGACTTCCGAAAGTCGCAGGAAAGGTGAGACAGACGCATACGACGTTGCGAGCAGACGACGTTGCAAAGGAGCAGACGACGCTCAGATAGGGGGTCGCGATCAGCCAATCAGGGCTCGGCGTTCTGACGTCACCGCTACTTCCTTTCTCATGCGCAGAAGACGAAAATGAGCCCACTTGCGAGGCGTATAAGATGCTATTGGTGTGCATAAATAAATTACCTTTTTAATTCAAATGTGATTGGCAATGGATGCTAGCAAGTGGTTCCAGAGATGTGAGAAGGCAAAGAATCATGGTCTTTTAGTTAGACAGGCCAACATATAAATCTTAATGTAGCAGTTGAATGAATGTATGCTTATACTGCAAAAGTTGTGTTTACTGCTCCAAAAATACTCGAGCCAATCGCAGCACTGCAATTGGAAAAATGGAGGATTGGCCCGTACACCCCATCCGCACCTGCATCTAAATTGCCGATATAAATATTGGATCAGTTTTCTTTTTCTGGGAAAATCCGTTTTGTGGCGTACGTGTTGTATCCGGGCAGTCTAAAAAAAAAAAAAGTTTAAGAGTCCTTTGAAGTGTACATTGGTGTCATTAACAAGCATATGGTATGCTTGAGTTCGACTCTTTATCCTACCTGCCGGTCATCGGATCTTTTTCCGCATTTTGGGGAATAGTGAGGGCTTCTGTTATGTCAAGTCAGATTCACCAAACTGTCAGGACAATAATTTGATGACTGACAGGTAGGCTGAGAGCGACATAAATGAATCGTGTTGCACTCTTCTGGGCCAAGTTTGTAGCCTAAGCACCATGAATCCAAGCACACTTCCTAGTGCTCCGTCGTCGTGCCACGTTTGTATAGCCCTGGTCGACACGAGCATTGGTGCCCTAAAGCCGGACTGATTTGTCAGCGGGATTAAAGGCAGCACCCGAAACTCACTGTCCAGCCCCGGTTTGTGCCGTTGCCACTTGACAGCTGTGCTTCATTGTACTTCACCTGATGTCTGTGTAAGCAATGAGAACAAACCTTTGGCAATTTTCAGGCTAATCTGCCTCTCGGACAAAACGCCAAGGCACCTTTTGCTCCTGCTAGCTCTGGTGAGTTACTTTTATCTCTTATAGTAGTTGGCAATTGTTGGTGTGCATCGCCAGAGGGTTGTAACTAACCTGCACCAAATGGGATTCCAGGCTACAGTAGACTCCTGTTAAACTTTTCACGGTTGGGGTTCTTTTCCAAAGGATATTTCTCAGTGGTCGGGTTTTGCTTTTGAAGGGATAGTATGAAAGAGCAGTGATGGAAGTGGCATTTGACCTTTTGTAGTTGGCAAAATATTAATGTGGAGCAGCCACTTAACACTTCTAGAGCAGATGCCAACATCTAGTTAGTGTACATCACTTGAAAATGAAAGAGTGATGGCATTGTTAAATGAGTTTGTTTATCAATAATGATTGAAGGTTCCTCTTTCATACTGAAGTAAGTTGTTACCTTTTCTAATGAGCATAGGACACAAAAGCAACACACAGCTTTCTTTAAAAAAAAAAAAAGGGTAATTCCCAGTTACAATGGGTTTAAAAAAAAAATTGTTGAAAAACTAAACATACCACAACACTTCTGTTGAGATGAAGCCTCTCTTCCCTTTCTTTTTTTGCACTTGATAGTTTATAGCCTAAATATATCACCTGTAAATTGCCAGCATATCCCTCCACCAAGTTTTATGAACCTACCAAACTCGTGATTCTAATCTAAACAGCAAAAGCAACCAGCCACAAATATTGTGAAACCCTACAGTTGCGGTTTAGAAGTGACACTGCATTGGAATCAGAGTTGAGCCAAAGTTCACCGCTCTTTTGATTGACAGCTGCTAGGGATTTTGACTACTGTATTGATTCAAATACAGACCCACATCTTTGTAATGTGAAAGCATTAAAGGGGCCCTCCGGAGCTTTCTGAGATCGTCTGTTTATGTAGTTATAATGCGTAGTAGGTGCAAGGCTAATATGTATGCAAAGTTTTAGATTACAAAACCGTTTATTAAGCTGATGGCAGTAGAAATATATCCGGACTATTTTCTCTTAGAAGACAATCCCCCATTCCCCGCCCATCGCTAAAACTTGACCAATGAAAATGCTGCATCTCGCGGTGAATGCGAACATTATTATTGCGACACGTTTTAAGCTTGTTGTAAATTAGAGTTTGAGGAAAACGTAAATTGATTGTGGTGCGGGAAACATAGTCTGCAATTATCGCTCCAAAACCGGCGAACTATGTTTTCTCCCCGCAAGCTTGTTGCTAGGGCGTGATGCGTCGGCGCGTCGGCTCGTCTGCTTCCCGGGTTGTCTGCAGGCGTGCGTTTGGGGGACACGTGTTCCTTCTTCCCGTGGATCCCGACTCCGAAGCCAGCTTTGCGATCCTTCCACGTCAACGAGTCGAACGTTTCCTTGTCATCTGTGGAATGCGACTGCGTATTGCAGTAGCAGCGCGACGGTGCGGTGCGACGAACGACGACTGCCGAGCACAAAGTCCGGGCCCCTTGACGACGGTCCGCGCGTGTTCGAGAGATTTCTCCACGGGTCGGCGGTCGGCTGCGTTGGTGACGCGCAGTGACGCCAGAATCCTTCGCTTGCTATTGGCTGACGCGTAAAGAGATGCCCCTCCCGTTTTCCGGGGTCATCTCAGAAAGGGGGGCGTGCCGGGGACTTTGATAGCAATTTAAATAGGAAAATCCACCGCGCATGTGCGTAATTTTATGATTTTTAGGATCCTTAGGACCTGTAGATTGAGTTACCGCCATAAATAGACCATCGCAGAATGGTCCGGAGGGCCCCTTTAATTGTCCCATGGAGCGAGTCGACGTCATCAGTTTTGAAGCCGGGCCAAAGAGCACTTTAACTCCTTTCTCCAAATGAAGCCGGCTCCCAGCTTTGAAACCACGTGAAAAGCCTAGCCAAACGGCACCTAGTTTCCCCGATCCCAAAGGAGCGGAGTAAAGCTGATGGATTTCGGCTTCAGTCCCATTGGCTGGCGCGCGTCGACGAGGCTCCCATTGGCCGCCGTGCGTCAGTTTTAACGACTGCCACCCCATGGTGCTGTGTGTCTGCGTCGTTGGCGCGCTGGTAACGCAAAGCGTCCAAGGTCAGAGCGGCGAGGAGAGCGCGCACTCTGCCATCGACGCAAATACGCCGCAGACGAAATGAGGGAGCGGAAGAATGGCATGCATGCTTTCGCATTCACAACTCGTAAGAAGTGCTTAGGTGTACCTCCGGCAGTTTCAGCTTCGGAACCGGAGGCACTTCACAGCTTCTTTATCGATTGATGAGCTCTCATCCTCTGAATTCAATTTTGAAACGTGTGAAAAGTCCAAGAGCCGGCACTCTGATTGCTACTATCGTCGGAGCGGTTGACACGCAAAGCGAGAACCTTGCATATCACGGAGTGTCTAGCTTTGAAACTATAAATAGTCCCAGCAAAGCCAAACACAGTGCAAATACAATGGTTAGAGTTCCCTAAAGACACGATAACAAGCAGCACCTCTCGGCATGCGTATGGTTTGGCGTATAGGTGCGAAATTAGATACACATTATTCCCGCTGTGCATGTGCAGCGACGACTGCCGAAAGGGTTAAGATGAACACAAAGGGACTTGGAAAATTTTCTTGTCTTCTCAGAGTTGGAAAGATGCTGCGACGCTGGGCAAGTTTGAATTGACTGCATGCAAAGTTGTTAGTGTTAAGGAAGTATTTTTTGCATTTCGTTTATGGGAAACCAACCAAACATTCCGAATTTGTTCCGCATGTCGAAGAATTTGGGTTCAGCGAGTTTGGCTTAACAGGAGTCTGCTGTATATAAATTAGTTCCTTGGAATACCCTCGAGTACCTTTCGAATGCCCCTACCCCTAGTAAACTTTTGTGTAGTATGAACATGATTTAGGGCATTGGATGGGGTTCCATGAACCTGCTGGGGTTGAAAGTCATTTTTAGGGTCTTCGAAACCCTTGTTTCAACCCTAGACTCCCCCACCCCTTCCCTCTTTTCTTGAAAAAAAGTTTTTTTTTTTTGGTTGATTCTCACTTGTCCTGTCTAGAACAGTAAAGGGTGCCTTTTTTACACAGCAATTAATTCTTATTTTATACCCCCCCCCCCCCCTTTATCTCTTCTAACGCTGGCATGGGGTCTCCCATCACTTTGCCAGGTGCCCAAGGGGTCCCCCGACACATCCATGCTTGAGAACCACCGATTTAGGATACTGTGAACCAGTCTCTCACCTTTCTCTCTGATGCTCGAAAGAGTGACAATAGAGTTCACAATTTTCAAAACTGCTTCATGCAAGCACGTCAAGGTAGAGTAGTGAGAGGAATGTGAGAACTCTGCTAGACAGTTTAAGAATTTTTTTTTTTTTTTATGTATGTGCAGGTCTTTTTTGGTGCTGCTGCTTCTCTTTGGCAGCTTTTGAAAACACCAAATGCCACATAACATTGGACGTGTTTACGGGGAGAATTGAAAAATGATCCGCATTCAGGTTGTCTTAAAATGTCTGTTGGTCGGACGAGGTCACTGTCTCTCTGGTCACTGCTGTGCGGGTTTAAATGTGCCAGTTCAGTTCCGACTGAGGTGCGAGAAACAATAGCTGCCCCACTTGTGATTTTCACACGTGGGGAAGCCATTGCTTTTGTGGTCCAAGGATGTGTCTGGTCCTGATATGTATTGAAGACTTTGTGCACAGTGTAAAGGAAGTCCGTTTGATTGGATACAGAAGTTCAAGGAAGGACGCACAAGTGTCAGCCGTAAAGAAGGTGCCAAATGCCCGTCCATAACTGGCGACGACATTGAAGGGGGATGCTTCAACGAAATTTGAAATATACCCGTCGTGTTAAAAAATAGATTGAATATGATCCACAATATCCGTAAATGACAATCCCACGTTTGTATTTTGAGCCTGGTGGCTGTATTTTTCATTATAAATGGCCCAGTCTGGCAAGTGCTCAGAGAACAGCCAGCAAAGAGCACGTGACATCCAATGCAATCGTGACGTAGTTCGTCTCGGGACGAGCAAATTAGCGGCGAGGCAGACGTCGAGAGGATGTCCTAATCGTTCCAGCCGCCGAAGTGGCTGCTATTGTACGAATTTTGAGCGACGGGTTAATCTTCTATTGTCTTGTAGAGGGACAATAGCGACTTCTGGGACACACAGAAGGTATTCTTGGGGAGAGGGGAGTTCTTCCTTCAGGTCTTCTCTCGTCGTGGCCGGAGGCAAGACAGTTACGGTCACTACCTGTCAAGGTTCCTAGATGGGCATTAGAAACGAGGCGTTAGCGACATCCACCAGGTGCTCTTTGCTAATCGTTTAATTAGTTTTAAAATTCCTTTTCGCGTGTTTTTTAACAAGATATTGGTGTGTCTGATGTGATACTGCTCCTTTGAACGCATATAAACCAAAAAATAAGCGCCGAAATTTCGTTGTAGTATCCCTAAACGGCAACTTTGGTCGAAAACAAAACCGAAACAAACGACTGGTATCGCTTTAATGGCACGGAATATGATCACAGCCAAGATATTACATCAAAGTGAAGCCGCATACCCCACTAAAACCCATTTTAAAGATGCGACCGGCTGCTCTTTAGCGGGTGGCAAGCGGGTTAGTTTTTAGTCAAGCAATACTGGTGCAGGCACCCCTGTGATGTCACGTTGCACTGGAGCTGCAGTTCATCGGTTGTACCGCGTATCGCAGCACCCTTGTGACGTCACATTGCGGCTGTACTGCTGATGATCAGTCCATCCCTTTAGCAGATAGTTTTGGTTTCGTTGTAGATGCCTGAAACCAAACTTTGAGTCACAATATTTATAAAACTGCACTCAACATCGGCAAAAAAAAACAACAACCTTATAATTCAGGGACACTGCCTTAGCTGAAAACAGTCATAATCCCAAATTAAAAGAAATATTGACCGCCTCCCCTTTTCCTATATCCTCTCCACTCTTTACCTTGTCCCAACTTGGCTCCTCTCGCAGCTTAGGAGAGGGGAGTGCTAAGAGGATTATCTTCCCTGCAGAAAACAGGTTGGTATGTTAGCCTTTAAAGGGCCCATGAAACAAATTTTGGGTTGGGATAAGTCATTTTAGATTGGGATTTTACTAATAGCACATCGTTCAGTGGGCCACAAGAAAAAAGGTAGAAAGTCAAAAGCCTGACTTTCAGTGCGAAAATTTGAAAACACAGCGGACTATTTTGTACCTCCTCCCCTTCGTAAGCTCTCTGCCTTTTCACTGTGATACATCCGCGGTCCCAAAAGCGCAACGTCGGGTCTAAACGCACGTCACACGAAACCGGACCTCACTTAGTCCCTTCACCCCTAAGCTGACATTGTGGTGGAAGCTACGCACCTGCCGGATCAATCAGCCGCCTCCCTTTCATCACCTGACGTAATTTTCTGCGCGTGGGTATGCTCGAAGGAGTGTGATAACGTGGCAAGTCTGGCTGGCCCAACGAGCACGTAGCTTCCACAGCACTGTCAGCTTCGGGTTGAACGAGGTGAGGAAAGCAACTTTTGTCTGAATTTTGAGCGACGGGCTAATCTTCTAGGGGGACAGTGGCTCTGTCCGGGTATACAAACCAGATTCCGAGCAAGAGGGGCCTCCCCTCTTTTCGTCTTCTTGAACTGTTTGGTGGAATGCGCGATTTGAGTTAAGGAGGAAAGCTAAACAGGAAAAAGTTGGAAAAGCGTTTCATGACCCCTTTAAGCGCGTGCATGTGAACCGATAGTCGGGTGGACGAGCGACAGTGGATGACGTGATCAGTCATTTGCAAATGAGCCAAGGCGTTGCCTCTGCAAGAATCCACGACAAGTTTGGGTTTGGAAGCAAATAAAGCCAATTTTACAGCCAGGGTCATTTTTGAACGAGTCGTTTTGAGGGGGTATATCCTTGGTGAAAGCAATTTGGAAATTGTTTGGACGCAGGACGCTTGGCGGCATCTTCATCAGGCAGCACAGCAACAGCCAACAGCATTCTGCCGCAAGTGCCCATTATGCCTGCTGCTCGGCCCCAAGCAGGCAGCGAGCGTGCAGCGTCCATCTACTCCCTGGTGCAAGATCTCACGGAGGAAGAGAGGCAGCAGTTCCTCGCTGAAAACTTCAGCCCCGGAAAGATGCCGCAGAGGCCACCGCCGAGAGAATACTGTGCACTTCCATGAGGCCTCTTTTCTTTGTGCAAGGCTGCACACTGGACCCTTGTTGAGTTGCTTGGCTGCACGTCTGCCCAAACGTTACGATTCCTGCGGCTCGACAACTCGAGTCGCACATTTCAAACGAGTACTTTCGTGGGCAAACAGGAAATTGTTTCGCCACAAGTTGTGCCTACACTGTTGTCACTTTCTTATTGTACAGCCATTAAAGGAGGAATGGGAGCTCTCTTCTGTTGTGCACTAATTTACTAGAAAACCTGTTATAAGTTAGGTAGCTGTGCCGAACGTCGGGATCCAGCTCGTTTTAAATTAAGTAAATAAAGATCAATACAACAGTAAACATCTCTTATTAAGAATCAATTTATTTAAATATTTCCCCCTCGTATGTAGACAATGCAACTATTAGCAAATTATGTACAAGTTGCAAGCACCACTTATGAATCCACTCGCAAAATAATTTACACTGGCATTGTTGGCACTGGTGTGAATAAGAGACTTTCCCACTTTGCAAGTAGAATGGACAGCTGCGATGCTGTCCATTCAACTTTGCTCCAGACGCCCAAAATACACTAACAACCCTGTAGGGACCAGCAGCACTCCTTTTTGGAGGAGAGCATGATGGCACCCACCTTGGGTATACCTGTACAACCTTTTCACAAATGTTGAAATCGCTCCCAACATAGAGCCATTTCATAAACCGGGCAAACTATGCATCAGCACTTTGAGCTGGTCGAGCTTCAATAGACTGGAATTTACTAGAAAGAGGGGCTTTTTCTTTACATATGCAGCACTGCATGTATGTCATAACCAAAAAGGGATGTCCCAGGGACATGGCACCTCGACTCTTCTATGCAGAAAAGCACTGGGCAGCCACTGCAAATGGTGGCATGCAGATGGCCAGACTTGTGGAAACAAGAATAAACAGGTTCACACTAGCAGCTCTGGCATCAGAGAATGGGACGCACAATCGTCTCTTGTCCGGCACGTTGCCAGCGCTTCGCAGCACCTGGAAGTAGATGTGCGGGAGTTGCAGAAGTACTGAATGGCTGGATGGGGCATCCTGGCCCTTGAAGGAAATTGGAACATTTGTCACTCTTAGAGGGCAGCACTATGGGTAGCGGACATTTCATCGAACGCCGTTTCATCGAATGAATGGACATTTCATTGAACGCCGTTTCATTGAATCGCTAAGGGACGTTTCATCAAATTTCTCTGTACCGAGTTTTGGGGCATAACAGCGCTTTAAAGAGGTTTTACCTTGCAT